CTTACAGTACCTATTTTTTTAGTTTTGGGACAATTTTTTTTTTTAGCTTTTGTTTTTGTTTTTGTTATATATTTTTGTTTTAAAAAAAAAAGTCATCATCTCTGGAGTCGGTCTGGACTGAGTGGAATCAGTTGGATTGATGATTCTGGACCCGGAGTATCAAAATAGCTCACGGAGACCGAATCGAGTCAATAGACGAATAGTTACTGTTACACACAAAGGCTGACCAATCAAAACCTTTTGTTCTGGCGGGGGGTATGTATGTAGTTGTATGACTCTCGTGTCTATGTACATACTGTACATATTGTGATGATTTTGATTTCTGAAACAATTTACTTTTTACTTTATAAGATGTCAGGTCACTTGACAGTCACTCAGTGGTCAATGATCGGGCAATGAAAGGCTGAATAACATACGACTGCTTGTTGTATATGTGTAACAGTATAAATTTTTACATATATGATATATATATGAATTAGGCTTGCAGTAATCTGCACTAAAGACACTGTTTCATTTACGTATACAACACTACAACACGCCAGTGTCGTAGATACACCTTCCTGCGGAATCTTTAACCTAACACCAGTCTTATCAAAGACAGAGCACGATTCAGCAAGACAGCTGCGTTCAGAATATCGATCAGTCGGAGTCGTGAGCTTCTTGGACACCATGGTAAGTCGTTTCATCAGACCGTTTGGTCGCATACAGCCCACTCTACGACCCAAACTGTCATGTAGTCTGCGCGATCATCCCACTACTACTTCTCTACCCATAGACATACCAAGACCACGAAGGTATACTGCCCTGAAAACGCCCACTCGCGATTTAGCAGTTGCGCGCCGATCTATCTTAATGCGACTGTTAACTGGTATCACTCACACGCGCACGCTGCGTGTACGTATGCACACTACACAGAGTAAATCAAAAACGGCTGTGGATGAGGTTTCCGATGGAGGGGCTTTCGTTCGTACAGATGCAGGCTATAGAGATTGGGTCAAAGCAGATGGATCAACCCCGTTTAAACCCGAGGCTGACCGATACCACCTATATGTTTCGTATGCATGTCCATGGGCATGCCGCTGCCTGGCTGTACGATCAATTAAAGGGCTCGAAGATGTTATAAGCATAAGTGTGGTACACCCTGTATGGGACAAAACTCGCCCGGAAGATGAAAATGACTCGCATCGGGGATGGATGTTCAGAGGTGAAGACGAATTTAAGGGGAATATTCCGGATATGCTTAACCAAGCCACGTGCGTTAGAGACCTCTACGACTTGTGCAACGACAAGACTGGAAAGTACACTGTGCCGGTTCTATGGGATAAGAAAACGAGTAAGTGCATGAGTGAGTATACGAGTTTCTGACTAGTGTTGCCTTGGAAATTAGTTCTGGTCTCAGTGGGAATTTAGTTGTGGTCTCAGTGGGGCATGTACGTGAGACTTGAAAGTAGATTGGTATTCCAATAGGATTAGTGAGTGTAGGTATTGGATTTGGAAACTATGCAAATTGGATCAAACTATGCTTTTAGCATGGTTTAGAACTACGCTGGTGCTAGTGTCAGTAATATTCCTATTCACAATCATAGAATCTATCGTCAGTAACGAGTCCTCGGAGATCATCCGTATGTTCAACGATGAGTTCAATGAGCTCTGCAAACGTCCAGAAATCGATCTGTACCCCAAGGCGTTGCGTAAGGACATCGAAGCCGTGAACGAATGGGTCTACCCTATGCTGAACAACGGAGTCTATCGCAGGTGCGTTTCTACCACAATGACAGTTGTTTATAGCCGCATCCAAAGAG